GTGTTGATAAGACCAATGCGAGGTAAAAACTGAAGTCCATTCTGAATGAGAACAACTTTTGGGAAAGCAAAGCTATGAGGAATTTAATAGAAACGTCAGCTCAATTCAAATCATTGTGGGAAATTTCTACTACCAGTCCTTCATTATCTTACACTAAATAAGATTTTTTAGTTTTCACTAACTTTTGATTTTAAAGGATTTATGCACACTATACGCAATCTCCCTAATATCATCTATTTCGTTATTCCTATACTAACAGCATAAGTATTATTTTATTGGCCAGACAATGTTGAATAAATCTGTAAGTTTACGAATAGATATATAAAACATATATGAGACATTAAGTTAATATAGGTATCAAGAGTATAACTAAATTTTTGCTTTCAAAAGCTGAATTAACAGTCATAATAAATATACTTGTTTAAAAGAATAATTATTGAATGATTTTTACAAAATTGAATTAAAAACTGTTGTGAAGTGATTGTTAAAGAAAAAGAATGACACTTTTAACACATTACTATAAAAGCAATATATGTGGAATTAGCGTTTAAGAATTGAATACGTGATACAATATATACTTTTCAGAAACTACAAATATTAAAATGACAAGAGAAATGTATTTTACACATAAAAATCGTTATTAGTAAATATAATCTACTATTTACTTTTCAAAAGCATTTTAAATTCTGATTATAATCAAGAGTATTCATTTTTAGACAAATCAAGAGAAATATAATATTTTAAAATGTTGAAACTTTCTTTTATTCTACATCTAACGAAAATAAAAGCGAATAACACTTAATATAAAAATATGAAAGTTCTAAAAGATTTTAAAATAAAATAAATGCAACCTGGCAAAACTGCTGAAAAGGATACCAAATTGACAATAAACGTGTAATCGACAATAGAAAAATAAATAGAACACAACAAGCCCATTAAAACAAAGTATTTTTAAATCGTAATAGGACTATTTATTATTTATACAGGTTATAATATATCTACATTCTACCTAAATCTTACATGTTTTTATGTTTTTTAATTATTTATTTTAATCGATATAATTGATCTTTTTTATATTGGGACTTTTCCTTTGAAAATTATGGCAGACGCAAAGCTTCGTGAAATTTTTCTTAATTTTTGTGATACTGTAAAGAAAGGCTCTACAGTAGCTACAGACAAGACTCTTAAAAAGATATGTATGGATTGTAAACTTTGTTGTGAAGGAATGGATATGAATAGGGTTGATATTCAATTCAGGAAGCATCTGGGAAACTCAAAAAAGAATGTGGACTTTGCTGGATTCTGTTCCTTTATAGAAGGAGCTTTAGCAGAAGCATATATTCAGGCTACCAAACAAGATAGAGAAGCCGCTGTTAGCGAGTTAAAGAATAAAATTATTGCAGCTGGAGGACCGAAAACCCATGGAGTTACATCAATTTCTCATGATAGTGCTACAAGTCGCTTAACGGATGTTCAAGGATATACAGGAAGTCATAAGGAGAGGTTTGATATGGAGACTGGAAAGGGAAAGGGAATGGAAGGAAAGGATTAAATTCCAGATTCAAGGAGTACGTAGTGCCATACATCAGGATACAAGGAAATGCTTACTTATGATATGTAACATCGATAGAATTGCATTTTTATTTAGTTTATGTATAGAAGGCATATTATTTTTAAGATTTATTTTTTTGCTAAGATCATTAACTGATATTCTTATTGACTCTTGTTAATCCAGCAAGCCAGAGCTTTAAATTTACGTAAATATCCATAAAGTTCAACATAGCTATTAATTCAGGGATATCAGTATTGTTTTTATTTTCAAACATTTTTCATTATTTATTTGACTCATTTTACAATTGAAGAAATTCAAAATGTATAGTGTTCTATATTTCTATGTCAAAAAACTGATCTACTGATTACCTCAGAAAATTAATTACGTTAATCCAAATGAAATTGATTTTGGTTTATAGACAAATTACTGAGTAATTGATTAAATTTTTACGATTTTAAATAGACATTGAGGAATGATAGCTGAAGTTGATGTGTTTTTGATTAAAATAGGGCATGCTTTCTAAATAACTATGATTTTCAATCCTTAAACTCTGATGCCTGCTAGGGTTTCGCCTTTCTGTGGGTTTTTTATGCTATCTTAATTAGTCATAGTAGATGAGGGGGCAAATATTTTATCCTTGTTTTGCTAATCATTAATTTTTGTTTGCTCGCTCTCTAATCCCTACCAGAATCCGCGAGAATTTATAAACAATTTCATACGCTCTTTTTGTTTATTTTTATAGATTTTCTAATTTTCTGCCTGATATTCTACTGAGAATATGGCGTTGACCCATTCTCACTAGAATTCTGATTAACTGTGCTCGGCTACTTCCCATTTTGAACCCAGGAACTCTGAAGCATGAAACATATCAGTTTACTTATCCCTAATAATCGCAAATCTCTTATATCCTGAAATTATAAACTATGAACTCGTTTATTTAATATATGAACAAAATATATAAACTATTATTTGTCTCTAGCCTATGATATAGTGTCTATATAGATCATCATTATATAGGCTGAATGGCGCAGCTTCTAGAACTTTCATTACATCTGCAGCATTAGATATTAGTCAATATAAATTTAACTGAAAAGCCTTTCATAATTATGCACATTTGATGAGATCGATTATAATAAGACATTTGGGTTTTGCAGATATTAAGTTTGGAGCAATTAATCATTAAGATTAATTGACAATTTTAAGAACATATTAATTCAAAAGATGATAAAAACAACTATTTGTGCCAAACATGACTACTGGATAACTACAATAGGTTCGCGATATTACCAACCTGTCAACTTTCTGATAAGCGCAAATAAAGTGAGCTTTAGAGCATTGCATAAAGTAAAACGACCACTTTAATCAATAATATCTTCTTTCCTGCAATTTTTGGACCTTCTTCAGATCAGGCTACTAAAGTTTCATATGAACAAGTAGCTAAGTATATAAAGTTGTGATCTACAAATTTACACAGAAGTTATTATAAAACAACCTAAAAATAATGGTGTTTTTAAAAGTATGAATTAGTCAGACAAATGACATACTTTAATTCCAAAAGTTTTGAAGCTAATAAAGATTATATAAGTAAGCTAAGGATTTTGGAATCACCAAAAGAAGACATGAACGATGCAAGATTTAATATTTCTTTATACATGTACATGAAGTTCCATTTCCTTAGTAATTCGCTTATCTTTCGTGAAAGCTGGCAGGATGGTAGCATTAGGAACTTGGACTAAGAGTTGCTTTATTCTTTGTTTTATCCTGAATACTAATTTTCTTCCACCCTATTTCTTAATTTTTTAATTTTTTAACGATTAATCCTAATGGATAATTATTCCCAACGAAGATTTTTCTTAGCCTCTCTGTCTCTTGATCCTGATGATTTATGTCCGCTAGAGGTTAAATCATTATTATTATTTATTTCATCACTCAAATTTTAACACCATAAATATGATTCGAGTTAATATTAAGATGGAATCATGCATTTTTTTGGCTCCTATATACATATCTACTCAGTTTTTTCCTTTGATAACTAGTTTATCTAACTCCAATGAACTGTAGTCTTCTTATCTAATCATTTCATTAACCCAAAGAAGTCTTCCAAACATCTGTGCCATGCAGCCAAATAGCAAAGTAGTCATCCATATATCGCATCACTATTTTCTGGAGTAGGACTATTTCTTGACTTCCCACTGAGCCATGTATTTATTAGCTAAAATTAGAGGCAAAAACGGTCCATTAAATAAAGAATCAATTTGATCGTATAATTTGCCATTAAAGGTCAAATTTGCACTATTTATTTTTAAGTTATAAAAGAACAATAAGTTACCCTTTATGATGCCCTAGTTATTAGAGTAGGGAACAAATTGGTTGCGGCTGTGTATAGGAAATCCAGAAATATGGGTCACCTTCTTGATTGCTTTTTGTACCATACTAATTTGGTTAAAATTGGAGAAATTTAATCAACGATCTTAAGGAGTCTACGCCTAGCGGACGTAAATAATCAGCATCAGGAGCTAAAAAGTTTAAGAATTATTTTGGTTGAGAACAATTAACCGTAAGGAGTATATGTTAGTGATGTCGAAAAACTTAGATAAAAGACGAGAAGAAGTATGTCATAGTGATTATTGCATACACACAACGCATATGCATCCACGAATCTAAAAAAATCCCCAGGATTACGGAATCATACGCAAGTTTATTTCGTAGACCAAATTTTGTGACCACATTCGCTCTTCCTGCATCACTTTCACTCGCTTGTCTGCATATTGAACAAGCATGAAACAGTCAAGCAAATCATAAAATACTTCATTATGATCAGTACAGAGTCATCTGGGTCGTAAGCAGATAAGCTGAGTTTTTCTTCCCAAAATTCAACAGAAACATTTCAAGGCAACCCTCCTTCGGTACCCAATGCTTTGAGCCTAATCAAGCTTCCTCCTCTTGCTAGGTGGTACTTCTCTTTCCCACCCCACCCCACCCCATTCCTCCCCTCTATATAACTTTATTTAATATCCACAAGTAGTTTCCACTTAATTTTCTGTACTTATTCCTTCTATTCAGAGTGTTGGTTGTTGTGTTGATTTCCATTGCTTCCCTGATATTTCACTTAATTGTTTAGTCCTCATATCCAGTTAAGCGTTTGGCATTAGACCAATCTATCTGGTGTCCTGTGCGAGCCAGATGTTTGCTCAATACCGATTTTTTGACACAGCCCTTTGCAGGCTGTTTTATGTTTGGATTACCTCTTTTGTATGGGCCTACAGTTCTCTTCTGCATAGGCGCTACCGCATGAACACAAAATCTTGTAACAGCCGATCTAGAGAGAGGATAAGAGCATTCTCGAAAAGAATGCAATACCGAGGAAAGTGTTGTTTTCTCTTTATAAATGGTCCTGATGTGCCACCTTCGACAGATTACATGAGGACACTATAAATTGGTCTAACTTTCTAGCTAGCCCAAAATATGTATTTCCCTCCATCCTATTTGGCATTATTGTAAAATAATTGTCCTCCGCTCCTCGTGGGTTATTATTCTCAACCAGCATTTTCTTTATTTTTCTCAATTCCCAGTCCCAATGCTTAGAATCTGCCATAATCAGGCTCCCTATTATCATAGACTTCATGATTCCTACTTTAAATTCATAAATGTGGTTGGAAAAGAAATTCATAAGGGATCCTGTATTTGTGGGCTTCCTATACATATCCCAACCTAATCTGGTCGCCTCTTTGCTAACTATGAAATCAAGAAAAGGAACTTTACCTTCCTTTTCTAACTCGGTGGAGAATTTTGTCTTCCCATCGATTTTGTTTATCAGACCAAGAAAATTCTCCAAGTTTTCTTTGCCATGTTGCCAAATAGCAAATTAGTCATCCATAAGGCAAACTAGTAATTTAGGAACTAAAAGTGTCTCCTGAATTATGCCATTATCAATCGTGAGTTTGATTAGGATGCCGCACTTTGCTAAAAAAAATCTCATTTATTTCTCGCCACTTTAAATTTTATGTGCAGCCACCTCAATTATCCGCCTGTACGGGGAGCCCTGCATATTCAAATGATCATGGGTTGGGCTAAAAAGTTGAAATAAAATTTATAAATAGTATATAGGATTGCGATCTAACAACTTTGCTGTCTTAGTGCCTTGTGTATTTTTCGTTAGGAATGCTGTTATATCTTTAAAATGTCTGTAAATAACAGACCATTTCAGAACATAGATCATTCATAATCACGGAACGATAAACTGATATCATCCATAAATAAATTCCCGGTTCAAACT